GTCTTTATCGCCCACTGAGTCTCTTCCCATGCGCCCGATACGTTTCAATTGTTGTGTCCTTTGCTTAAGCATCAAGTAATTCTAAGAGGTGGATTTTTTTCAACCTCGCGAACCGAGAGCTGACTTTCTATTTCTAAAGAGTAACAAACACTCATCAAAAAGACCACGTTTTTACTTCCCAGGTATTGGTTAAAAAGACGATGATAACTTCGATCGGTCAGCTACGACGAACCATCGCTTTTAGCTTGCTTCTTTTTGTCATCAGTGGAACAACGGGATATCCATCGGGACTTGAAATTATAAATGCATCATTCTGTGGTGAGTGTCTCTTTGGATTTATTTTCAATCCTCTCTCAAAGACATTCTGCCTACAAAAGCTGTTCAGGAACAATTAAAGAATGTTACCAGAAATCGAATGGAAAATAAAATATAAGAATTCTCCGCAGGGAAAAAGAATGGTTAATTTTCTTTCTTTCAACTACTTCGAAAGACATGTACATTTTACTAAACGTGTGTGAGATTGAAAATTCATGTCATTCATGAGGTGATTAATGAAGAAAGAGAAAGTAGGCGATACAAGGAAAAGTCTCCTCTCTTGATTAATCGACTACTTTAAAGGCCTTTAATGATCTTTCCATTTTCAAATTTTTCTGATTGTATTTTCAATTCCCAGGTTTTATAATTCGTTTTCCATTCTTGATCGTTTGTTCCCGATTCAAAAAAAAATTCGTTTCCGTTTCCATTGTCCTCTGCCTATTTTAGTAAAACCAGCTGCGGATAAGACCATTCAAGTTTTGAAGAGTCACCACTTTTTGCGGACAAAATGTAAAGAACTTACCCATTGTAATATTCTATGCATTGCTATTTCAAAGATCCTCGTGGGCCAGGAAATACGTCAGAAAGATGGGGACTGAAAGACAAGTCCTTATTTATTGCTTGTTGGGAGGTTGGATAGTATGTACTTGATTCCCATTCAAAGGTCTGTAATATTCTTACTATCTTTTCTCATTGAGAATTTTCTACAGTCTCCCTTTTGTACGCTGTCAGCGACGACTGATCCCCCATCCCCTCCCATGCGATCCTGCAAAACAACTTCTACCTCAGGCCCAAAAGTATGGAGAAATAAGAATCACGTCAGCCGTTGACTAATTAGTAACTGAACTGTTAACTGTTTTTCTTTTTTTTTTTCCCTGTAGTCCACGGTTTTAGAAACCTTTAGCTATTATATATTTATGTGCTGAGTTAAATTCCCAAAGCGTCAAAATAGCATTGAAACTCAAGCTCTATTGTTGCAATCTTTTTTAGGAAAGTATGATAAGCCTCCAACGTGCAAAGTTTCTCATTGGCCTTTCATTCCCACTGGTGGTCTTGTCAATTTTAGTGTAACATTTACACTTTGTAGGTTGGTGTCAATTGAACATGGAGGTGTTATTATATTTTCTTGTTTTTCTTGTTTTTTTCTTGTTTTTGTTTTGTTTGGTTTTCTTTTAAATCAAAAACGATATGGTAAACACTCGGAGGGAGGAGAGGCTTATGAAATTCCAAGGCTTCCAGACGGAAGTTAATCAGAGGAGAAGCTTTTCAGAGGTGGGGAAGGGGGTAGTTGATGCACAACAGATACAGCTCATATTGTATGACTTCCTTTATTACACAAGGTTATTCTTGTCACTTTCTTACTAATACTTGCTTCTAATAGTGGTGGATGGTCTTGCAGCAATATTGCAATACGAGTTGGTCTCAGACGGCAAGGTTATTGTTAGGGACAGGGAAGACGGTGTACACATTTCTTCACCAGACCTGTGAAGCTTACCTGCTGGTAGTTAGACTTCAAAAGGGAGTTAAAAAAGAAAAAAAAAAAGAAAAAAAAAAGGTGGGTAAAGGGATTAGGAGAAATTTTCGCACGCATGGGTCTTTTTACATTATCAAACATCTCCAAAGCTTACCGAGTACTCCGCGCAACGGATTGTATCGAAATTATAGGTTCTGCTCTTTAAAAATTCCAGCCAAACTCAAGGAAACTTTTCCCATCAACTGGGAAAAGCCCAGTAATTATATCAATCACAAAGTCTATCATACCAATCTCACCTGTTTGCATTAATAGTTGTTTATATTACATAGATTCCTTTTCTCTTATATCCCTGTGATCGTAGTCATTCATATCTGTCGAGATTAGCATCAATTAAAATAGTTTCTTTTTCCAAATATTTTTTCAACCCACAAAGGTGCGAGCTGAGACACATCGAGACGTGTTTGAAAAATAAAAAATGTTACTAATTTTTCCGAATAGTGTTCTCGACGATCTCAAACAGTGTTAGCTTCGAATTCCAAAAAACAGACAAACAAACAACAAAAACAAACAAACAAAAAATGATATCAATAGCAATGGAGTATTTTGGCGATCTATTATCGTTAATTGATTAATGATGTTATATATTGCTCTTGGCGGTGTCTCCCATTTTGAGTGACCTTATCTAATTTTTGTTATTTTTTTGTCTTCTAGAAACTAAAGTGTGGGTCAGATCTGAAAAATTTCCGTCTATTCCTCCATTTTTCAAGATAATCAATCAATTAACGCAGCCTTGTCAGCTCACGGGTTTCAGTACTTGTGATTCCTATCTGATTGCCCGACGGTATTTCAATCTTTCTTCCCTCCCTAGATTTATTTTAGTTTGTTACTTATAACGATGTAGTTTTCGTTTTTTCCTTTATGAGGGTTATGCCTCCATCTTATAAGCGCCTATAGATTTTCAACGAAGTTGAAGCCGAACTCTCTTGTAAGCACTCATTCTATTGGCTCCAAAATCAGCACTCTGAAGGTTTTAAAATTCGTTAGCTACCATCCAAGCCTAAAGATTTCTCGCTTCGTTGCAAATTGGTTTGATCAACTGAGTCAAAACTACAAATCAGCCTCCGTGAAGAGTTTCTAAAGCTGACATTTTAAGCGTCAGTCACTCTTTCTGAGTAACGACTAACGCTTGAAAGATCGGCTTTGAAAATTCTTTACAGTGGCCAGTTGACATAATCAAATCTCTTGATAATGCCCACTTTCCCACATTATCGTGTTAAGCCCCCCTCCCAGCGTCATCATTTCTTTGGAAAGTTACTCCCTATTATTCTCATGTCAATACACGCTGGCTCTCGTGAGTTTTTAGTTTCAGCAGTCATTCACTCTTATCTCTTTGATCATCACATTGACTGTGCGCTTTGACAAAATAATAATCATCATAACGATAATCGTGATTTTACCAATGTGTGTCAAAGTTGGATCTGTTCTTTTCTGGAAACAAGAGAGAGTCGTAAATAAATGCATGCGTTTATATTCATCTCCAAACACATTTCTTTACTGCTGGCGATATAAAGACATAAGGGAAAAATCTGGCTCGTTGTTAAATGAACAAAATGTTTACCCTCCACTAGATTTAAATAGTCAACGAAGCACTGGACAGACACTGATCTGAATTGAATCTTTTAAAATCAGTTTTAAAAAAGAGCACACTCTTGTTGTGACGTTGAATATAATAGAGACAGTTTTTAATGAAAGAGCAAAGCGGTGCTTATTTAATATTCATGGTACAGTCCTGACCTTGTCCAAATTTAACGTGCCACGCCATTTGTGGTTTTCATATGCTTCAAACGAATAAAAGTTTCTAAGGACTTTACATAAAACATATAAACAGATCAATTAACTCAGTAACCATTAGGCCGGCTTACTGATGGAAAGTTTTCTATATTACTTAAATATATATGGCGTGGCAAAGTCATATATGCTCTAGGGTGAGAGGGATCCTACTCTTTAACCAATCAAAACGGTATTATTATTTTTTTTTTTTTAACTAAGAAATAAACTACCTTATTATCTAAAAATAAACTATCTTATTATCCCAATTTGAACTAAAGACTTAAAAATAAAAACGCATCGCGTTTTGAAGAACACAGCCTTTGCGGGAATCTCTAGTGCCTCAAGTTGCAATGAAATGTCATCCTAAAGTCTCACAGCCAGAGAGATTTCAAAGAAAGTTCTAAATGTTTAAGCCATCTAGCTAAAGCGAGATATTTCGTGAGGCATAGCAAAATAGTTTTAAGACAAACATTTCAAAGAAGTTCTTCAGTTGCTTTCTTCAATTAAGTGTGGAAATTCATCGTATGCTCCTGTTCTTCTGATTACTCTATTTTTGAGACGTGATACTCCTTGGCGAAGGAAAATGAAACACCGGATCGGGTTGAAGGTAATGTACTTCCAAATTGACTTCACATGTAGAATTCCTTTTCCTGCAAAGTAGAAAAAGAGACGGATTTCATCATTTAAACATGTAATTCAAATCTTACACGAAAGCGTTTAAAACAGTAAGGTGTCCCTTTTTTCTGAAATTTGTCTTTGTTTTCGCTCTCGCTAAGAGGCGTTTTGAGAATGGGTGTTGACATTTCGTTAGCACAGTGGTTTGGATTTCTTTCTAAGATTTCAATATTCATTATACTCTATTTGTACCTCACAGTTTTCTGTCTTCTACCAATACTCTCTAATGTTGGAACACTACAGTACATGAATAGAGAAAATAACTCGGCTATCAGGATTACAAGGTCTCAAAGTTCCCCTTACAAGAAGAGTTAAGCTGAGAATTGACTGAACATCGCGATCTGTTTTGAGGTTACAGTTGTGCAAGCCAGTGTTATAGAGAGTCAAATATCCTAAATAACCTGGACATGGCTACTTCATGATTTTATCATAATACTTTAATTACGCTTAAAAAGAAAAATCTGGGGAATTGAGAAAAACACCAAAATCAACGCTACCTTTCCTTAATTTATTTAGCAAATGGGTAAAATGCACATTTAAGACCGAAAGCAGAGCAGCATGTTGACTTACCAATGGCAAGCAACAAAACAGAGGCGTTAAGGGCCACGAACAGGACATTTACAAAAATGGAGTCGTTCTTGCCCTCTCCTTGACTCTCATCCCAGTTTGTGTAAACTGCGCCGAGACAGACGTCAAAGAAAATGATTCAAAGAACAAAAGTTTGCAAGCAGTCTTCAAACTTATTCTTGATCGGTCGGAATAAGGTGTAGATAACTCCAAAGATACTAACTGTCAGAACTGTAAGACCAATTTGAGAGAGGCTCTTTGATCCAAAAAGGAAAATGAACGAGATTAAAATCAGCTTGCGATACATCTCTGTGATTTCCCAAAACCAAAATTCCTTCTTGTAGTTTTCAAAGAACACTCTGAGTCCGAAAGAAATTGCTTCGTATTTATGGGACTCGCGATACTTGTAAGTGAGAAACAGAGCCAGAAGTGGAAATCCCACTTTTCGAATTTTAATGTATATGCGCCAAGATGGCTGCCGCTTACTGTCGTCGTTGTTGTTTTTTTAAGCTTTTGTGCTTTGTTACCTTGTTCGTTCAGTATCTTGACAAGCACAATTCAATCTGTTCGCCCCCATCTACCTTTAAAGGCCCTTTTAGCGTCAGTCGAAAGCTATTTTCTGCTTCTCGCTGCGGTCAAGACCTTGCTGTTGCAAGACGCTCAACTAAGTTACCGATCACCAAATGGTCAAAGCATGGTTCGACGGTTGCTGCTCTGTCTGAAAGAGGTTTCATCAAGGACCTATCTATTGCAGTGGATGTTGAAATTAACCCGGGTCCGGAAAATTTTAACTACATGCCGACTGCTTCACTTCAAACTTCGAGACCTAGATTTTCTTTCAGTCGACGTAATTTATTTCAACTTCGCTCCTGTTGTCCTAAGGTTAAACTGGATTATTATCTTATTCATCGCTTAAAGTCATTGGGAATTTATAGAGCTAGAGGTCGTAGAGCTGGTGTTAATTCTAGATTTGGATCTCGTCAACAACATCACAAGATTCCAGTTCGTGTCACTGACCACTGTTTTTATCAACGACCAAACGCGCACGACTTCGACCCAAGGATACAAATTTGCATTTCATTTCTACTCACTCTTCTTCTTTACCCCGAATAATCCCCAAATGTATGGTCATTAATGCAAGATCACTTGTGAAAGTTGATGCTGCTTCTGCTTTGCATATGGAATTGCACTCAAACAACTGCGATATTTGCATCATCTCCGAGACATGGCTTAAACCAAATTTTCCATCTCATCTCGTTTGTCCGAAGGATTACTCAATTTTGCGAAAGGATAGAACTGACCGGTCAGGCGGTGGTGTTGCTATTGTCTGCAGGAGCGATTGGTTGTTGGAACGATTGGACAGCGTTTTTTATAATGCCTTTGAATGTTTGTGGGCTAAAATTACAACTCCCAACTCAAGCTTTTATGTGGCTGCTGTTTATCATCCTCCAGATCCGCCATATTGTCCTGATGATTTATTGGAACATCTAACAAATAGTTGTGATCATTTATTGACTGGTAATCCTAACAGCAACCTTATAATTTGTGGTGACCTCAATCAGCTAGATTACAATGATTTTCTTACACAACTAAATTTATTCCAGATGGTAAATACACCGACAAGAAAGAACAAAATTTTGGATGTTTTGATTACTAACGTCCCACATTTTTGGAGGAAAGTATCGGTCACTCAAGGACTAGTTCGATCTGACCACTCTGGGGTCCTGGTATATCCCAGAATCCCACTTAAGGCTGAAAGGAAAACTGTGATGTTCAGAGATGTTCGTGATCATCATAAACTGGATATGGATAAACTGTTGAAGTTTCATAACTGGGACAATGTTTATCAATGCGGAGATGTGAATGGAAAACTTAATCTTTTTTGTACCAAGATTAAGACCATGTTTGATGAGTGTTTTCCGGGTATATCAGTACGTGTGTCTAATAGGGACCCCCCGTTCTTTTCTCCTCTAATCAAACATCTACTGGACCAACGGCGAAAATTGATTCGGCGAAGTAACATGTCAGGAAATTCTGTTTCGATTGAGATCCAAACTCTTCAAGAGAAAATCAACAAGTTGATCAGAGATAATCAAGTTCGAGCAGTTAAAGGGAATTTTGAGAAACATAGTGCAGGATCCAAATCATGGTGGTCAACAGTCAATTCCCTGACAGGAAGGAAGTCTACCAACTCGCAAGTAAGCTCAATTATCTCCCCGAGCGAGATCAATAATTTTTTCTGTTCCATTAACACTGATCCCCTTTATAAACCCATTGACACTGTCACTATTCCGGAATCAAGCGAGATGCCTGTTTTAACGGTCTCCAGTGTTACCAGGAGTCTACTGAAATTAAAAAGAACTGCCTCTGGTCCAGATGGAATCCCGTACTGGTTTTGGAAAGAGTTTGCGTACGACCTCGCTCCTGTTGTTACCCATATTTTCAACTGTTCTTTGGAAAATCACATTGTGCCTGATCTTTGGAAATTGGCCGACATAACTCCCTTGCCTAAAGAGCCCAACTTTAAAAATTGCACACAGTTGCGGCCTATTTCGCTGACTAATGTAATAATGAGGGTTTTTGAACGTCTTGTATACAGACAAGAATTATCTCAATATATGAAGAACTTCATTAGCTTCGATCAGTTTGCATACCGCAAAGGCCACAATACGACAATGGCCTTAATTAAGTGTCAATATGCTTGGCTGAAATGGCTTGAGTCGGGTTTTGATTGTGTTAGAATCTTCTCTTTTGATTTCAGCAAAGCTTTTGATTCGGTCCCTCATGATATCCTCTGCTCTAAGTTGAAAACACTTGATATAAATCCATACGTGACCAATTGGATTATTAGTTTTTTACAGAACAGGAAACAAAGAGTTGTTGTTGATGCCATTGTCACGGACTATGTAAATATCAATAGAGGTGTCCCTCAGGGGACAGTTTTAGGCCCTATACTATTTTCTATTATGGTCAATGATATTAAGGCCATTCTACCAAATCAGAATTTACTTGTGAAATATGCTGATGATTTAACATTAAGTATTCCAGTAAAATCGCTGGCTAATAACGGCAATTTAGCAGCTGAGGAGGTCCGATCGATCGTCGCATGGACATCTGCTAATCGTATGCAACTAAACTTCAAGAAAACGTGGGAGATGCTTCTTAGAGGCAAATCCACTAAGGCCTTACCTGCTCCTCTGGTTTCTATAGAGCGTAAACCATGTCTGAAGTTGTTGGGTGTAACTTTTCAATCTGATCCGTGTAACTGGGACTTACATTTTGATAATATTATATCGAAAGCCAGTAGTCGTCTGTACATCTTACGTGTTTGTAAATTCTATGGACTGCCGCTAGATCATCTTCATCTTCTCTTTATCAGTCTTATTCTACCTATATTTACATATGCTGTAGAAGTATGGGGCTGCGCGTATTATCATAAGTATCTGAGTCGCATAGACAGGCTGTTCAAGAGAGCTTTTAAGCTTGGCTACTGTAAAGAGCTTTTTTCGATTGAAAATATTATTATTCTAAAAGATAAGAAGTTGTGGGCCAAGATCACCGACAGCGATTTTCCAACAGCTTTAGATGACCTTTTGCCACCAGAGCGAACAATGGATACGCTACGTAAGAGGCGCCATAATTATATTCTCCCGCTTGTCAGAACTGAACGTTTCAAAAGGACCTTTATTAATAGATGTTTGTTCTCTTATTAGTTATTCAGTTAGTAATTTAGTTAGTTTATTAGTTTATACTTGCTGATTTCATATCATTGTAACTAAACACGTTTGTTGTTTAGAGTGCTTAATAAAGACTTATTATTATTATTACTATTATTATTAAATCCCACGGGATATAATGCCAAGATAGAAGCCATGAGCCAGTACAAGTTGTGGCGAGGAGTGAAACACTGAATGGAGTGGTCAGCTCTCAGCAGGAAGATGCAGTCGCTCTTGTCGTCTGTAAAACAAGTCTCTACACATGCACCGGGAAGAGGTAGAATCTGAAAAATCGATTTGCTCGTCGTGGGGTAAGTCGTCAACAACAATAGAAAAATGTTCCGATAGCAAGACTTCTTCAAACTCTTAACTTCCATTGCTTTCTGGTCTTCGCCAAGGTCCTCCTTGCTCATGATGTAGCGTTTTTTAAGAAATAGATACAAGAAAATCAAGCCAACGAGTATGACATTCATGACAACAATCATCGTAAACTTTCCAAGCTGATCAAGCCGTAGAGAAGTATGAATGCAACTAAGAGGGGCAAACTGCAAGATGTTCCCTTCAAATACTTTTAGAACCTTCTCCGTTGAGATCAAAATGACTGGCCACTGGACTTTCGCCAATGCCGAGAAAATACCGGCAATGACTTGGTAAAAACCGATCACAATCTTAAAGCATGACATGATGACATCTGCAACTGTCCGGTTGTTCTTGGTACGTTTGGAGTCACCCCAAAGAACCATTAGAAACACAGCAACAAAAAGAGCAATCACCAAGATGGATGAAGTTATTGTTACAGGTAACCGGGGACATTTCAAACAAGAGTTGAAGCGAAAATAGAAGCCTTCAGAGCAGGTTGCACACAGAGTCCCTTTATATCCTTGATGGCATTCTGAGTCAATTCACCCTTGCAGGACTTTGCATGGGGACATTTGAGTGGCTTCGGAAGTGAAGTATTGAACGTGGAATACGATTTGTTGTAGTCTGGTCCAAAAGAATGAATATTGTCGACAAAACCCTTGAAACGGTCTTTTTGAGACTGGTCCGTCCATTCCCAGAAGTAGTTAGGAGCAAGTATTGCTGTATCTTTCTCACAAACAAAACCGTATTGTGGACATGCTGAGCACGGGCCGAAACGATCCAGCCGATAGAAGTTGTGTAGGCATCTGCATGCACGATATTCAGCAGTCTCGTGGGAGATCGTACCTGGGAAGGAATGTTTCTTCTCTTAGCAATTATAATAAAGCATTCATAAAAAGGCTTTTCCTTGAATTCACTTCCTCTCTTCTCTGAATCAACCAAAAAATTAGATTTCACCAGCGAAATAAATGGATATACTTTAAAATAAGATATCTTTGGACTTCGCCGAAAATAAATAACAACAACGACAACAACAACTACAATTTGGCGAGTTATCTCAGCTTATCTTTTTATTCTCTAAATAGGGTTTCTGATAGTCCACTACAGTCGATTGTGTTCTGTGACTGCAATATGTTAAAGAAATCGCTGTGACAGTCCTTTCATTAAAACGTAGTGTCACCTAGAGCGTATTTTAATGAAAAAAAGGTGCAGTTTGCCCAAAGCGAACACTGCACTTACCATACGGACATGCCACGCAGTCGGTAGCTTTGGTTCCAGGACTTCGCCGTTCAGAAACAAATGTGCCATTACTGCATCTTTTACATTCAATTTGTCCCATTTCATCCTGATAAAAGCCACCTGTCAAGAAATCATAAAACAATAAGTCAGCTCCACGGGTCAGTTGTAAGAGATTCCAAGGTTAAATACAATTACAGAGTGGAAACATTTTTATAAATATTAGTGTTTTTGCAATGTTTCAAGTTATTCTTTGTTGCTTGCTTTTGGTTATGATATTGAGAAAGTTGAGAAGGATAGATTTCCTTCCAGTGGCCGAGTAAAGTGGTTATAAAACTCTACTTTTTATTCTTTTTAAACGAATTTTTTTAGTTGACATTATACAGTTTCAATTACTGATGGGGCTTAGACCTTTCTCTGAAATATGTTTTAGTTAATATTCTATTCTTCATTGTTTTATCGAATAACTTCTATTATTGTTTTTTTAGAGGGCACGGTAACGAATCTTGCAATCTGATTGGTTCTTTACCCGGTCAGTATTTTCCTATCTCTGCCCACGGGCCACGGTAACGCTTTCGTGAGTCGCCGAGTACATCCCAACTTTCGTTGTCATTTTTCATAAATATACCTCGTTTTCCGGCTGGGCAGTATTTTTAAGCAAACACGTCGGTCACTACCTCAAGCCGATAAATAACTTATGAATCCTCTCTTTTCTCTCCATCAAATCACTTTGGTTGACAGAAAAATATTGGTTTCAGAATGAATTTGTATAAACAATAGTGTCATTACGTTGGTTGACAAGCGGCCTAAAAACCGTCTGCAATTAATTTTAATCGTTCACAAAAAGTACCCAGAAAGTTGAAACGTGAGGTATTTGGTTACAGTTAAACTGAACGATGGAACTTTCATTCATTTAATATCTGAATTTTCTCGAGTAATTTGTTCATAGTGAAAGAGCAAGCGAAGTTTTAATTTAAGTTCTACAACAAATATACGCTCCTGGTGAGTCTTTCCAATTCCGTTCAATTTGGACATTTGTACCTTAAATTGCACAACAGAAATTGAAGGAATTTTTTGAGAAAAGGCCGCATTACATTCCCTTGTGTCTCGTTGGAGTGTGCCGTTCGAATTTAGTTTTTGTGAAAGAAAGATCAGAGTTAAACACGCCATTACAGCAAACAAACGAGCAAACTCTCACAACTTCAAAATAAAAAAATTGAATTTACTCACAATTACTTTCCTCGCCGTTTAGTTAATGAACAGAGGTAAATCTTCGTACATGAATGAATGGTCGATGAGAGTGAATAATACTTTCCGTTTGATCATTAACTGATTTTGAAGAAAACATTCTCGTGACAGTCCTTGCCAAACTAGTTCTGTTGGTTTTCAAATGTTCCTACGCTTTTTTTTTTCTTGCGCGCTCTCTAATTGACAGGTGTCAGATTGTGACAGATACTTGTAAAAATAATGTTTCAAAGTTTGTTTGGAAGCCTTTTAAATCACCTTTATCGTTACGGAAATGAAAATGTTTCGCTGAGGCATCTCTCTTAAATTTGCATCACCTCTATTTTAACTACCATTTACCCACTCAAAAATTGTTCAGTTTATGGAAGATCTTGCCGTTTTTACGTCCATAAATAATTCGGGTTCTTTCGGAAAGAATTTCGTCAAGTTTAAAAACAATAAATATGTTATTTACCGGCTAAGGGTCGGTCCGTATGGTGAAAAACTGTGACGTCGGTCTTGAAAATGCTGCCCTCGGCCTACGGCCTCGGGCAGTATTTTCAAGACCTCGGTCACATTTTTTCACCATACGGACCTCCCAGCCGGCAAATAACATATATATATTGAAAAGCGCTGTTGGATTCTTCGTAGAAGCGGCGTTATCTAAATCTTTTACGCTAACATTTCAATCATTATTTATAATCAAATAGGTGATCATTCTTATTACCTGCAAAACACTCCAGACAGTGGTTTTCATCATTATAAATGTAGGTTCCAGCTGGACAGAGACTGCAGTTTTTATACCATTATAAATACGCAAAAATCTCTTAGAGGTTACACAGTTGTGGCACACAAAACCTGAGCGTATAAAGCCAGAACTGAAGCGATATTGGTCGTTGTCCAAAATGACGTGCAGAGATGTCGAGGGAGCACACTCACTGAGAATAAGACAATGATAATTTATCAAAAGCTCGCTTGGAAAAAGCATTGTAAGTTTTCCCGTGAGAAGAGAGACCTGGAAATGAGATGACAACTAACCCATATGCGCGTATTGGATATGAGGTATGTTTAAACCAAGTGAAGCGCAAAACCGAATTAGCTCTAACTTTGAGATCATGTTTAATAAGTGCAAATAGTTAAAAACGCTCAATGAAATGTGTGCTTTAAAAAATTCACACAGTTACCATGTTTTTGATGCATGAAGCGAGTTTTCATGACAACGTCATCTTGCAGAGGCGCATGAACGCTAGCTGTTTTCAAGACTTATAGTGTTTCATGGCTAGACCGAGAAAGGCTTTATTTTATACCAAGGCTGACCTTTAATTCCTACACATATTAAATTTCCTAAGTCAAAGAAGCCACTCAATTGATAGTGAAGATGTCCATCAACGGAAAATGGTAACGCTGATTCCATGGGGTGTACAAAAAAAAAATGAAACTTAAGGCATACTTACATTTGTGACACATATTTTCCCCGAGGCAGCTGACGAAGATTTTTACACGTCAATGACCTGTAAACAATTTGATTGTTAATAAGTTGAATTTAAGCTGATTGGATGTAAGACGCAAAGTGATCATTATGAGAATGATGGCAGCAGTAATTAGTCAAAAGGCCCACGTGGCCAAAGTAAACTCAGGTTTCCATAGCTTTGAGTGACTTGAGGTTTTGCTCCCTCGCTCGGATTTGATGAGAGTCCATTGCCTGATAACTCCCCTCCTCCCCTAAAATTACTCGACAGTGAGAACTACTTAGGGTAAAAAACTCGAATCGTGATAGACTATACAAATAAAGCTAGAACACAACAACTGTAATGATAATGATGAAGATGTCAATGACGACGACGACGATAACTATGATGATGATAAAAATAATAGGTGTGTTTCCGCGTGAAGGGTAGTAGTTATAAAAAATGAGTTCTCGCGCATTTCTTCTCCTGTAAAAATTTTACCTTGATTTCAAGGCTACTCATAAATTTTATCTCAAAAATCAAGGTTGATTTTAACCTTGATTTCTTGATTTCGAGGCCACTTGAATGTTCTAAAGAGAGTGTGAGAATTATTATTTTTAACGATTCTCTTAAACGATTCTCTCGAACTGTCTCAAAAACGACTTCACAATTTCTCTTAATCAGTTTGGCTTAGAAAGCATAAAAACAACAGTGTGAAACGACATGATCATTTTTACAAGTGAAACAAAATCACGTTCTTTGGTTCAGCAAACAGAAGGTAATCACGTTCTTGGCTTTAGCAAACAATAGATTATCACGTGAAAGACAATATAATACACTCCAGATCTCCTTAACAACCAGTGCAAGTGAAAATTGATTTCTTAATTACTTCAAGAGCATCAACTTGTTAGGGAGATCTGGAATGCGTGCTATTGTCTTTCACGTGATAATTTATTGTTCGCTTAACTAGAACGTGACAATCTATTGACGTCACAGTAACCTACAAACGCTTATTAAATAACTAACTGTGTTGAATTTGCATGTGTCGTGAGACGAGCAAGCAAAACCCGTTCGTCCTCTTGTCAAATTCAAATCTTACTTCGTTATGTTTACGAGTGATGCGAGCTTTTTTCGATAATCTTCCCTTATATGTTCCTTTATAGCGTCAACATCAACCTCAGATGAGATTTTTCTATATGTATGGAAGTGATATCATTCCTTGGTGTTATTTTTTGCAACACAGGATTCGGTGGAGAATAATTTACCCTTTCAAACTGGCTCCCGGGAATGTCAAAGCAACCAAGAATGCTTAAGGGTTCTCCATTGCATAGGTTTTCATCCTTGTCCAAAAGATCACAGTGGACAAGATAACTGTTGAAAGAAGTAAATCGACTGATGGAGTTTTTTCTCTTACAAACGCTGATCAATCGCGAGGGGTAAAGGATGATCTCTATCGAGTTTAAATCTCTTTTTTC